TTCACATAGACGCATTTGTCACTTTCGTTTATTTTAAAACCATTAATTAACATTGCATGATCGAACTTTTCGTACCACTGTTTAGGGGCTTGTTTCAATCCGTACAATGATTTAATTAATTTACACACTTTCCTTTCTTGGCCAGGAACACGAAAGCCTTCGGGCTGTTCCATATAGATTTCTTCGTCTATATCGCCATTTAGGAAAGCGGTTTTTACGTCCATTTGATGAACTTCCAATTTCTGTAGTGCGGCAATTGCTAGTATCATTCTAATGGAATTTATTCTTGTCACAGGAGAATACGTGTCAAAGTAATCATGGCCCTCACGTTGCTTGTATCCTTTGATTACAAGTCTGGCCTTGTACTTATCGATGGAACCATCAGGTTTCATTTTTCGTTTAAAAATCCACTTGGATCCCAAAGGTTTATTTCCCGGAGGAAGATCAACCAATTCCCATGTGTGATTTTTAAGGATAGAATCCACCTCACTTTTGATGACTTCTTTCCACATAGGACCTTCGGTAGACACCACGGCTTCTGTATAAGTCCGTGGTTCATTTTCTACCAAACATGTTAGAAAATCCGGTTCATTTTCTACCATACATGTTAGAATATCCGAGTCAACTTCTACCAGGTAGGTGAGAAAATCCGGTCCGAAGGATTTTTCAATTCTAGCACGTTTGCTACGTCTGGGTTCGGGTTCTTCTCCGGACCCCTCGCTAGTATTTTCCATAGCTACGTCAAATGTTCATTTTGACGTGCTTGGTCCTTCGTTGGACTTGCATGGAAATACGTCTTCAAAGAATGAAGCATTCCTTGATTCAATAATTGTGTTTTTATGTACATCCGGATTATTCAAATCGTACACTAAAAATCGATAAGCACTACTATATTGCGCATACCCAATAAAAATACAATCCACCGTTTTTGGACCTGTTTTTATTTTCTTAGGTGTTGGTACAATCACCTTTGCCAGACACCCCCACACTTTTAAATATTGATAGGAAGGCCGTCTGCCTTTCCACAACTCGTACGGAGTTTTATCATATTTTTTCCGGGGAACCTTATTTAAAAGGTAATTGCTCGACAAGACTGCTTCGCCCCACATATTTTGTGGCAGGCCCGAACTTACTAGCATCGCATTCATCATATCTTTCAATGTGCGATTCTTTCGTTCGGCAACACCGTTTGATTGAGGTGAATAGGGTGCGGTATGTTCATGTACTATACCCACGCTATCGCAAAAGTCACCAATTGGTGCTTCATACTCACCACCTCGATCACTTCTAACCGTTTTAACCCGTCGATTAAGTTGGTTTTCCACTTCATTCTTAAAAGAATGAATTTATCTATTGCTTCGTGTTTATTTTTTAATAAATAAACGTAGCTATAGCGAGTGCTATTATCGATAAAGGTAATAAAATATTTATTACCGCCACATGTTTGTATTGATTTAAAATCACAAACGTCACTATGAATTAATTCAAGTAGTTCCATTTTTCTTTCAATCGATTTGAAAGACGTTTTCGTTAGTTTTGCCTCTACACAAACTTCACATTTGTGCTTCACATCAATTGTGAATTTAGGAATGTGCTCCATGTTAATTAATCTACGTATAGAATTAAAATTAACATGTCCTAGTCTACCATGCCACACATTGGAAGACTCAAGCAAGTAAGCAGAAGGTATTTTATTATTATTATTATTAATAATAGTCATTACATTGAGCTTAAACAGCCCATCAACTGCATATCGCTTGCCCACATACATTCCCGATTTAGACAAAACTAGTTTGTCCGACTCAAAAACCATGCGAAAGCCATGTTTGTTCAACAACGAACCGGAAATCAGGTTTTTGCGTATTTCCGGAACGAACAAAACTTGGTTTAGAGTCAGCTCCTTGCCCGAAGTCATCTTCAGGACCACTTTGCCCACGCCTTCAACCGCGGAATGGGCTGAGTTTGCCATCCACACCTTCTCACCATTTGATGGCTCAAAAGTAGTGAATAACTCCCGGTTTGAGCAAATATGCCGGGTTGCACCAGTGTCAACGAACCACTCCTTGGAATTGGATCCAACGAGGTTGACCTCGGTCACCACAGCCGCAAGGATGATGTCTTCATCCTTTTGCCCACCTTGCACCAAGTTGACTTGAGAGTCCGTTTTTATTGCAATTGAAGCATTTTCCGTTGAACATTGTCTTGGAAACGCCTCCCTTGGGACCGAGCTTGCTCTTCCCATTATTTTTATTTTTGGAGCCTTTAGCATGCTCCACCACGTTGGCCTTGGCGCCGTTAACGATTGGGAGTTTCCCATCGTTCTTCCGGTTATCCTCTTCAATCCGCAGACGGATGATCAATTGCTCCAAGTTCATTTCCTTTCGCTTGTGCTTAAGGTAGTTCTTAAAATCATTCCAAGCCGGTGGCAATAAATGGATAATTGACGCCACTTGGAAAGACTCACTAATTGTCATTCCTTCATCTCGAATTTCGTTGAAGATCATTTGCATTTCCTCAACTTGACTCAAGATCGTCTTCGAATTCACCATTTTAAAATCAAGGAATCGACCAACAACAAATTTCTTTGCGCCGGCATCCTCGCTTTTATATTTGTGGTCCAAAGCATTCCATAGCTCCTTAGCCGTAGCTAATTTGCTATACACGTCGTACAAAGCATCATGCAGCCCGTTCAACACATAGTTTCGGAAAAGGAAGTAAGAATGCTTCCAAGCTTCAACCGCGTTGAAAGATTGCACATCCACCTCACCCACGGTTGCTACCGACGCATCTTCGGTCAAGAACCTAGCAAGACCGAGAGTAGTGAGGTAAAATAGCATCTTTTGCTGCCACCTCTTGAAGTTTAACCCGTTAAATTTTTCGGGTTTCTCCACAGAGTTGCTCGGCACGGTAACCATAGGGATTGCCCCTTGGTTGCCCAAAGTAGATGCACCGCGTTGTGAACCATTGTTCACCGGTGCTCCACTTTCAGATTGATTATCGTTTGGCACGTTCTGCCCACCAATATTTCCAATTTCTTGAGAAACCATTTTTAACGTTTTCAACGTTTTCCGAAAACACAAAAAATAAGTTCGTTCACCAAAGTGACAAACTACGATTTAAGATTGTATCCGTGTGATACAAGCTTGAAAAAATACGTTTTAAGATTGTTTACCGGAGTAGAACAATCACCGAATACGTTTTAAGATTGTTGGATGTGTTTCGGAAAAACGAAGAAATATTAATTAAATAAAATTAATTAATAAATAAAATAGCTAAAAGAAAACAGAAAATAAGATGGAGCAGATTTTAGCCAGAGCTCGTGCTACGCACGATGTCCTTAACAAGTATTCGTCGCCTCCCACGGTGCTAGGAGCGTTGCAACGACCGTTTCCCAGGATATGGTGGCTAACGAACGATCGTTTGAGCACACAAACGAAAGTCCCGGCGAACTAGAACACAATATGAACACTAGGGAAATTTCGGAGTAGCTGGAAGTGTTTTTAGCTCAAGAAAACGTGAGGAATGTATTGTGCGCGATTTCTTGTTGCAAACCACTTGCCAGCTATTTATAGGAGGATTTGTTGTGTGTTAAATGTAGTGTTAATGGACCTAAACGTTGGACATCAATGACCAGTCCGTTGGGCATTGAATCGTCCATAAACTGTCCATTTAACGCAGCATTAAAGATAAGAACGTTGGGCATTAACTTTCATAATGGTAGAATTGCGCGACAGAAGACCCCTTCGAGGGGTTCTGCCCGAAGCCAACAGAACACCCCTTCGAGGGTTCTGGCCGGCCAACAGAACACCCCGTCGAGGGGTTCTGCCCGAAGGTCGTCCGCGCACACGAGTCGCGGTTTTTGAACGGCATTCGTGTCCGCAGGTCGTCCGCGCACACGAGTCGCGGTTTTTCTTCCCCGTTTCGGGATTTGATCGGCACCCCCCTGCGCGTAAGAGAGAGCCTTTACCTTTAGGAATCTTAACTCCTTAAAAGAGGCTTCCCTTTATAAGGGGGTGAAAATCCCTTGAGTTTTCCGGTGTGGGATAAAACACACTAGAAACCCATCATTTTCCTAGTTTTTCCATTTCAACGAGTGAACTTCGAGAATCAATTTCTCATTCACCCGTTATCCGTTTTGAGTGTACCACATATCGAATTGTAGCCCTTAACAAGGCCAATCCGAAACCACTTTGACCCGACCCAAATCGGAAGTGGACCCCACTCAAATAATTTCCCCAAAATGACCATTTAATGCAATTTTTAACACATTTTTCCGACAGAAAATGCCATATTGAGAATGACATGTTTCTATACGAAATTGTCATTGTTGTGTCATTATTGGTCATTTTTAAAAATGTCACTTTTATGTCATTACAGTATTTAGAAATGCCATATTGAGAATGTCATGTTTCTATACGAAATTGTCATTATTGTGTCATTATGCATATCAAATGGCATTCTCGCATATCAAGTGTCATTCTCGACGGAGATTACAGGGACTTGTGGGAGAATGGCGGTTTCATCGGAAGATGGTGGCGGCGAACTCAATGAAGGGTGGCGGAATCGGCGTACTTGATGGAAGATGCAATGTTGCGGTACTGGAGGATCGTTGCCGCACACCTGGAACTTGGAGGATGACAACGCTGGACATTGTTACGGCAATTCAAGATGGCTGCGAGCATTGGAGGCTATTTCTGTCCAACCACAAATATTTACTCCTATTTAGAGAATTTAAAACAATAGGTCCTCTTTTTGGGTTTTGGGAATTCACTCAACAAATTAAGGGGGTGTTTTGAACTGATTCTAATTCTGCTTCTTTTTTAAAGTAGAAACAGAATCAGAATCAGTTTTCAGAAACTGGTACCCTCCAACTTCTAAAAAACTGATTCTGAGAGTAAACTGGTACACTCCATTTTCTGCTTCTGCTCCCTGAAAGAGCAGAATCAATTTTGAGAACAAAGATACAAAAAATTTTGGCTACGTAATACAAAATGTGAAGGCGTATAAAATTTATGTGGACGTGGCAAGGATAAAGCGTAAAAACAAGGAGCTCAGACTCCGGAGAGCTCTGGTCGACTACACACATTTGCCGGCTCTACGCCGCACCACCCAATGTCTACCTTGAAAATAACACCGTCGGCAATGGCACTTCCCGCCTCGATTAAACAACTAGCCTGCCTTCGTCGTTTACCTCGAACTGGTAATGTCTTCTCCGTCCGCCTGACCCGTTTCAGGAGGGGATTCGCTGTCAATGCAATGTCTGAGGCAACGGATCCTGTTCAAGTCTGCGCTAAGGCATCCTTTACCGTTCCCAACAAGCTTGGAGATTGTAAGTATTCCTCTTTTTTCTCGCATTTCTTACTTTACGCGCATGTTTGGAAATTTCAATTGATTTACTGACCTGCTCTGTGCTAATGTCAAGTATTTTCTCTATATCTTGTCTGATTTTTGGAGATCAAGTTCTTAACTTTAGAGTTGCCAGTATTGTATTTATCCTAATAAATCGAACCCTTAACTTAATAGCACCTAATTTCACGACTTATTAGCTGATTCACAAGGTGCAGGACTTAGTAATGACTGGACATTCTAAACGGAAATCAGGAATTAAGCAAGAATTAATAAAGATTTCTAAGGAAGTAGTTACCGATAAACTTCTTTTAAACGGCCGTTCAGGTCCTTTTACGCAAAGAGTTTTGTTGACTCTCGAGGAAAAGCATCTGCCATACGATCTGAAGTTGGTTGACTTAAGGAATAAACCAGAGTGGTAACCAAATGCTGATTACTTTTTTTGTGCGATGATAATCCATATTACATACTCTTCTTCCTTGGTGATGGGAAATGTTTTAGAATGATTTTTTGATCTTTTTATTATAGGTTCTCAGATGTAAGCCCAGAAGGTAAAGTTCCTGTGGTTCTGATTGATGAGAAGTGGATTCCAGATTCAGATGTTATCACTCAGGCCCTTGAAGAGAAGTTCCCCAATCCATCACTAAAAACACCCCCAGAGAGGGCTTCTGTGTACGTTTTCTATCAAAATGGTCTAATCTTAACAATTGCAGTTTCTTGAATCATCTATGGTTTGACACCATTAATCATCCCATAAGCCCATATAATTAGGCCACCCAGCCCTAAAAAATCTCTAGAAGTTAGCTATTCATGACTCTTCTGTATGATACACTCTAAGGCACTGTTTAGTAGCTATATATTCTGAGGCAGTGTTTACGTTTTCATGTGCTTATCAAAGTGATTTATTTGGAGAGTATAAAGAAAGTCTGTAACTGTAAAGTTGGTAGTGTTTGAAAATAGAAGTATAAGTTGCAGTATTGGGTGAGAAAAGTACTTTATGGTGTATATTTTAGGTAAATGTTATGCAAAAAGTGAAATACAGTTTTAATCACTCATCTTTGCCTACAGTTTTTTTTAGATTTAAGGTGCTTAATATTGAGCACAAGCACATATTTGAGCACACTACAGTACATTTTTAAGCAAAAAACATATTCTTAAAGCTACACACTTATCTCCTGCTTATTATCAAAATAAGCAGAGTTATAAGTTTACTTGGCTTTTGGCTTATTTATTCGTTGTAATGGATGTCACCAAACACTTCGTAGTTCAGAAAATTCAACCATTATAGTCAAATCTCTTACCGAACGGCACTAGGTCTCTTACCTGCAAGCTTGCTAATATGGAAAATGCATTTCCAGCTATGGTAGCAGGTTCCATCTAGATTTCAATTATGTGTTTCTAATATTATTCCTAACTATAACAACATACTTCCTTGTTCTTAAATAACTGTCCTTTAGCGAAAGACACTTTTTAACAAATAACTGTCCATTTAGAATGAAGCAAAAACATCTTAAAAGGACTAAGTTGCTGTCTCTTTTATCTGCCTTTTCCCGTTTACTCTTAATGCTAAGTACTACCTCCACCCCGTTCAAAGGTTCCCATTGCAAAATAGAACGGTTATTTAGAAAATAGTTAAATATGGTAATTCAAGGTTATTTTGAGAAATAATTTTGATGGTTATATATTATAATGAGGTCATTGATGATAGCTGTGATGTTATAGATGTATTATTTTTAATACTTGATGATTAAATTATCATTTAACAATATTAATTGTTTCCTAAAATAGAAATGAGAATCTTTAAATTGGACGTCCCAAAAAGGAAAGTGGGAACCTTAGAATGAGATAGATGGAGTAATTATTAATTACTAATTAATAAGGATATTGATGTGAATTTAAAATAAAATTACTCGTCACCTTGAAAATCACAATTTTACCTTAACATACAGTTATTTAAGAAAGAGGGAGTAACGATTTACTTTTACCCCACTTATGACTAAAAGATGATGTGTTTCCTAGTATATGACTCCATAAGTTTTTTGCCTATTGTAGTACTCCTATACGGCACATGGTCATTCCGTTTTTTTGACTTTTCTTTTAATTCCATTGCTGCCCCTCAACCATATTAAGTAAAGAGTAATCAATTCTTCCTAATAATATGGATTTGATTTGCACGATCAATATGTAAACAACGTATCAGTGAATTGCATGACCAATATGGAATTCATGTTTATTGCTGCCATCAATATTATATACTTTATACGAAGTATATATATGTATATGTGTGTGTGTTTATATATATGGGTTTTCGATGGTTTCCAGGAATTTGGATTTCGGTTGGGTAAGACAGCCCGATTTATCAGCAACAATTGTTCTAAGTCATTTGAAAAAGAGAATGTGGATGATGAGGGTTTAAAAGATTAGTCCACCAGAGAAGCTAGGTACAGATGAAGCAATAGGATTCCCTCGTGATGTTGGCTCCAGATTTCTGATCCTTCCTCTAGCAGATGCCATAATCACTGACATTGATATCATGCAGTGATTTTTTATTGGAAATAATGTAGTACGAAATTAATGCACTATCTAAAAATTAGAAACCTTTAATTGCAAGCCATCAAATGATCTAATATTGTATTCTTAAAAAAATAATATACAAATAAACAATACTGCATGCACAATATGAATATTTAGTATATAACTCTACTCCCTTAGTCACACAAAAGTAATTACAGATATCCAATTTATTGCACTTGTTTAAGGCATTAACAAAACATAAATTTACTGCACTTGTTTAAGGCATTAACAAATTAAAACATAAATTTACTGCACTTGTTTAAGGCATTAATAAAACATAAACTTTCACTGCACTTTCATAATTTTTTCACTGCACAATTATGGGATATATACTATTTTGAAGATATTAGCTTCATACTCAACCCAACTCCAAGGAAATTTCATGCGTGTTCTACTCTAAAACCAAAAACACACTGATTTTGACTATTCCATACTCCGATCACTTTTTAATTAGCACTTTTTAATTCCTTCCATAATTGGAGTTCTAGAGAATCACGTTTAACCGTAATACTTGCCTTCTTCTGCGGCTAGTTGCAGACTACTTCCGTTACTTTCCTTCCACGTGCAATGTGGACGTTTGAATTATGAGGTTAATTTTGTCCATCCGTGTTGTTTATTATGTGAGGCGTTTTTTTTTAGTTTTTAGTCATATGAATGAGTAAAAACAAGTCTAGTCATATTATGAGAAAGTTAACAACTTTTACTTATATATAGGTATTTTTCCCTTTACTTTATACGTAGTAGTTGTTTATTCAAAACCTCTAATGTATTACCTTAGCAATTTGGACAGTGATATATTTTACGTGTTTAACTTTTGTTTGTAGCGGATCATATATTTTCCCCAAGTTTATTGGTTTCCTTAAAAGCAATGACACTGGCGATGGATCGGAACACACATTACTGGAAGAGCTTACTGCCTATGATGATTACCTTAAAGAAAATGTAAGACATTAATCTCTTATCAATGTGTGCATCTGTATACCATCCAGCGTGATATAAATTATGGGAAGAACCATTATGGGTTGTTTGGTTACTTGGTACACATGAATAACTTTTTGTTTCCTCCTTACTTCTCAAACCAAAAATCCATTATTCTGTACTCCCCCCGTATTGAAATGTTTGCTACAATAGGGTTTGACTCAATATTTAAAAGAAAAAGTAGTAAGGGTAATGAATAATGTAGAAAAGTAGGAGAGAGGGTGTAAAAATATGAAAGCAAAGATAAAAATAGAAGAAATAAGGGTAATTGTGTAATTTTAATGGGAAAAGTTACCAAAAAGGAAAGTGTACTAAAAATTAAATTATATCCCAAAAAGGAAAGTGTAGCAAACATTTCAATATGAAAGGAGTATAAAGGAATAAATGTTATATAGGGGAATCATTTTCATTTATTATTTGGAAAAAACAATCCTTACCCATCCATGGTATTATTTTTCCCATGAGAAGGGAAGATAAATAGACAAGCATTAGAAATAGATTGAGAGAAACAGAGTGAGAGAAGAAAGCCACCGAGAGACTGATACCACCACGGGGTGCCTGTATTAGATCATAAATCGACTTCCGAAGATGACACACAAACCGAGAGCCATCATTATACCTGGGGGGTTGCTGCATGTTTACCTCCTGTACAGTCCCATGCAGGAATGCATTATTGACATTCAACTGATTGATTTGCCAACCATGAGAAAGGGCAATAATAGAACTATCCTAATAGTAATTGGCTTAACGACAAGACTAAATGTGTTAGAATAATATATCCCTTAATCTATCCCTGGTCGTTGATGAAAGCCTTTAGCCACCAACCGAGCTTTAAAGCGATCCAAGGAACCGTCCGGGTTATATTTCACCGTGTAAACCCACTTACACTCGACAACATTTTCACAAGGAGGTGGAACAAGATCCCAAGCACATTGCGCAACCAAGATCCCAAGCGATGCCAACAATTGAGAACAAGGTGATTCGGTTTGCCACAAATCTGACATACCCCCTCCGTTCCTAAAAATTCTTCCCGGTTTGACTTGGCACGCTTATTAAGAAAGTGGAATAAAGTGGAAATGTATGGTTGTGCTTGTGTAAGAAAAAGGTAAAATGAATGTGAGCCACACAAATTGTCCAAAATGGGAAAGTGGGAAGTATTTTGGGGAACAACCCAAAAAGGAAAGTGGGAAGTATTTTTGGGAACAGAGGGAGTAATAGATTTGAAATTTTGATTTCCATATCTCGGGTTGTTTCGGGCCCTCGTGCTATCGTTGCTTATAGGATTAGTATTTCCACATTGAGTCGGGTTATAAGGAGTATTGGGTTGTGGGTTCCTGAACTGATTGCTATTCTAGTTTCGGGCTGGATCATTGGTGCAATGGGACTGATTTTGGAAGTAAGTTGTTGGGCCAAGGCCCAATATGGATGCTGAGTTTGGTGTTTGATACACAGTCGATCACTTGATCCCCTGCGAACCGCAAGAGCAATAGAATTGACAGTACTCACAGCGACTGAGTTTGCTGTGACAGCGGCAGAGGAGTTCAGAGATTTCTTTCCATCGTAGAGATTCAAAGCCGACAAGCAACCCATAGATTTATTCAAATCGATTATCTCCAGAAGTGAGAATCAAGTTCTCAATTGATGCAAATTTTGGGCGAAGCCCCTCCAAAACTTGGAGGACGAAGTCTTCATCGTTGCTAGAAGCAGAAAACCCTAGCAGACGATATTAACGTCTGTCCCAGCCTTAGGATCAAACCAAATCCTTATTCTCAATAATCCCTAATAGTTCACAAGATCAGACCTCCTTAAATACTCCTTAAGAACTAACAATTGAATGATATAAAGTAATAAAACCCAGCCGTCAATCCATCCCATCTAGGCCCGCTGGCGGCGACGGTAAACCAATAATGGGCGAGGCCCGTCCTCCTTAAGGAGCGGCCCAGTTGCCTCCTCCTGGAGCCTCGGCCCAACTGCCTCCCGCTCTCTAACAATCCCCCCCCTCTAAAACAACCTTGTCCCCCAAGGTTGAAGTAAGGAAACTGCTGCAGCCCAATCCACGTAGCATCATCTTCCGACTGACCAACCCACTGCACCAACACTTTCTCAACATCTTTCCCTTTCTCCTGCACATTCCGCGAAGCCAAAACAGTAGCCGGCTCGAACACTGGCCCAATAGGTACTTCCAAACTCTCCGGCAACTCTGTTTCAATGGGATGATTCCCGACTACCCGGCGTAGCAGCGACACATGAAAAACAGGGTGGATCCTGCTAGAAGCTGGGAGAGACAGTCGGTACGCCATTGGACCCACACGTCCTTCGACCACAAAGGGGCCATAGGACTTGGCAGCTAGCTTGTGATGAGCTTGCTTTGCTATAGAAGTTTGCCGATACGGTCGAACTTTCAGGAATACACGGTCCCCGACTTCAAATACCACTTCTTGCCTGCGCGTGTTTGCCTGCTTAATCATTTGTTGTTGTGACTTTTCTAGATTATCCCTCAAGCGACGCAACAGCTCATCCCGTCCCCCTAGAACTTCTGCCACAGCATCCACCCGGCACTCACATGGCAAGAACCGCCGTAAGGATGGTGGCGGCCTGCCATACACTACTTCAAAAGGAGTCATCCCGGCAGCTGTTTGGTAAGCAGTATTGTACCAATACTCCGCCCAAGGTAACCAACGAAGCCACTTCTTAGGCTGGTCACATGTAAAACAACGAAGATATGTTTCCAAAATACGGTTTAACACTTCCGTTTGGCCATCCGTTTCAGGATGGTATGCAGAACTGTACTTCAAGTGGGTACCTGACTGCTGGAATAATTCTTTCCAAAAGGTACTGACGAATAGCTGATCTCTATCACTGACTATGGATCCCGGCATACCATGTAACCAAACGATCTCCCGCACAAAAGTATCAGCCACAGACCCAGCTGTAATCGGCGGTTTTAATGCAATGAAGTGTCCATACTTGGACAGCCTATCCACCACAACCATCACACACGTATACCCCTGAGATTTAGGCGAACAAGTAATAAAATCCATAGCCACGTCCTCCCAAATTAATTCTGGAATTGGCAGCGGTTGTAAGAGTCCTGCGTGCGACATTGTTTCATATTTTGATTTCTGGCAGGTCAAACATTTGGCCACATACTCCTGCACCTGACGGAACATGCCTTTCCAATACACACCGCTCGCCAATCGTCGATATGTCCTGAGAGCCCCTGCATGTCCCCCCTCCGGTGTGTCATGAAATTCATGTAACAGTTTCGGAATCCACTCGGAAGTAGCTGCCAGCACCAATCTTCCTTTAAAAAACAGCTTGTCATCTATGATTTCGAACCCCACTCGGCTGTCCGGATCAGTCTTCAAGGCAGTCACAATGCCTTGAATAAACTCCCGTTCTTGTTCTTCCAACACCTCTTGCATCCCTGCCCAATGCGGCACACTTAGTGTTGTCAACACCCCGTCATCAGCCCTTCTAGATAGGGCATCTGCCGCTGAATTGGAGACTCCCGGTTTGTACTCAATTTGGAAATCATACCCCAATAATTTGGCAACCCAATTCTCGAGGGAGTTATAACTTTCTGCGTGAGAAGATGTTTGAGGCTGTGGTGATCAGTGCGGACTGTAAAACGACGACCTATGAGATATGGCCTCCAATGTTGTATTGCCAAAACCAGTCCCATTAATTCACGTTCATAGGCTGATTTAGTAAGGGTGCGATCAGCCAATGATTTACTGAAGTAAGCAAGTGGTCGGCCTTCTTGCATCAATACCGCTCCTACCCCAATACCGGATGCATCACACTCAATCACAAAGGGGTGCTTGAAATCCGGCATGGCCAAAACCGGCGCTTCAGTCAACGCGCTCTTCAAACGGGTTAAAGCAGCTGCTGCCTCCTTATTCCATTCAAACATCGCCATTGCATCTTTCTTCAACAAGGCTGTCAGAGGCCGTGCTATCAAGGTTTAAAAAGGCGGGTTCGGGTTTCAAGGCGGTTTGTTCCTAAGAGGTGAGGCGTAAGCCTAAAAAAATACAGACATATAAAACTTGATATAATTAAACTAGTAACAAACAACTCAAGAAGTAAAGGATATCCATAATTATAAGTCCAAAAAGTGTGAGACACAAATACATGTGACCTATTATCAGTAAGTCACTAGGCTTCAAACACAAAAAGAAACATCTCACAAAACAGACACATCACAGTCTCACAAACACACAGAAACAACCCACACAAATTGCATCACCAAGGCCTTCAGAACTACTAGGTGTAGCTGTAGAAGCATGCCATCTTTTCTTTGAACCTCTCACCATTAAACTAAATCTACACAGAAGTATTATTAATGACATGACTAAGGAAGCAAAGTAAATCCTTTACCAGTTAGAAAACATGAACAACAGTTTTGTAAAGGAAGTATAAGAAGCCGTGAAGGAGAAGAAAAACAACAGTTCTGTAAAAGAAGGATAAAAAGCAGTGAAGGAAAAGAAATGAAGGAGAGAAGTTGAATAAGAATAGGAGAAAGAGAAGGGGATGGAGAAGAAGAGAGGAGAAGAAAAGTTACCTAGAAGATTTTGGGTTGTTGTAAGGAGATGTCGCAGGAGAAGAGAGAGTTCTTTGCGTAGGTGAATAGAAAGTATACGTTAAGATTCAAATCCTTCAAATCCTTATCAGGATTTGAATGAAATAAGACTTGTTAGGGTTTAGTATATGAGCTTCTATTTAGAAAGAACTCTGGGCTTTTTATTAAATGAAATACTTGGTCCTGTTTTAAGTCGCTGCGCAAGTGTTCAAGGCGTGCGCCTCAACAAACGCCTCAAGGCGTGCGCCTCAATCTATGAGGCGTAAGCCTTTTTACCTGCGAAAAAAACCTACGCCTTGATACCCAACCAGTATGCCTCAGCTTGAGGCGCGCCTCAGAACCCTCCTCAGAAGCGCCTTTTTAAACCATGCGTGCTATGAGTCCGTAATTTTTGACAAAGCGATGGTAATAGCCCGCCAACCCCAGAAACCCGCGCACCTCCCGGACAGAACGCGGTTGGGGCCACTCGACTACTGCACGGACCTTAGCAGGGTCCATCTCCATGCCTGCCGCTGAAATGATGTGGCCAAGGTACTCGACCTTGGACCCCCCGAAGACACACTTCTTTCTATTGGCCTTGAACTGATTCTGATGTAAAATACGCAACACCTGTGTCAAATGTTCACGATGCTCGGCTACGGTCCGACTATAGATCAGGATATCGTCAAAGAATACCAAGACAAATCTTCGCAAGAACGGCCTGAACAGATCATTCATCGTGGACTGGAAGGTGGCTGGCGCATTCATTAACCCAAACGGCATCACGAGAAACTCGTAATGGCCACTATGAGTGCGAAAGGCAGTTTTAGAAATATCCTGTTCAGCCACTCGTATTTGATGTCCAGCTCTAAGGTCAATTTTTGAAAAAATTACGGCTCCAGATAACTCATCTAACATCTCTTGTATCATTGGAATCAGATACTTATCTGGAACAGTTACTTTATTCAACTCCCTATAGTCCACACAGAATCGCCAAGTGCCATCTTTCTTTTTAACCAGGAGAACTGGGCTTGAGAATGGGCTGGAACTTGGCCTGATGATGCCTGCCATCAACATGTCTGACACCAGATTTTCAATTTCATCTTTCTGGCTATGTCCATACCTATACGGCCGGACAGATATCGGGCCCGTTCCCGGGGCTAACTCAATCCGGTGGTCTGTAGATCGTTGCGGGGGGAGGTCCCGCGGCTCTCCAAATACTTCCCCAAACTCCTGCAAGACATCATCCACCTGCTTTTCATTTGTCCCCGACAAAGTAGTGGGCTCGCTTTCCATCACAATCGCCCAAAATTCCACACCCCTCGTCCGAAGCAGAGCGTGCAATCCCACCTGTTTCCGACATAGTGTTGGATCCCCTTTCAATCTTACAGGGCTGCCCTGCCAATCAAATGACATAGTCATTGTTTCCCAGTTGGTCCGGACCTCTCCCAAGGATGCTAGCCATGCTACTCCCAGTATAACATCCACTCCTCCCAATGGAAACACGTAACAATCTGTCCGTACTTCGCACCCTAGCAGCGACATCGACACCCCCTTGCAAATCCTTTCTGATTCTTGGCGCCGACCATCTCCTAACTATACACCAAACTTCCTCGTCTTTTCTGTCTTTAATTTGAGTCGTGGCACAAGGGCTGCTGAAATAAAGTTGTGACTTGCGCCACTATCCACCAAGATGGACACTATGGACCCCTCAATTACGCCTCTGAGTCGCATAGTACGAGGACTAGAAATTCCTGCCATTGAATATACAGGTAAGTCCAGGTAAGTCCATGACCGCTGCCTGTTGCTCCTCCTGTTCCCCTAGCTGCTCAATCTCTTCCGGTGGAATAAAAGATTCAGTTTGGTTGAGGTCAAATTCTTCATCTTCCTCGGCAACCATTACTCTTAATTGTTTTAAAGGACATTCATGCCCAGGAGTATAAGGCTTCTTGCATCGAAAACAAAGTCCTTTTGCACGTAGGTCTGCTAATTCTTGCGGTGAGAGGCGTGTGAACCGAGACCGATTCACTGACTGACCAGTCATGGCTGACCCGGTCCCCGATGTACGACCTGAAGATCACGAGAAAGTCGTGCTTCCTGCTGCCCCTTGAGTTCCAGTAACTGGCGTGGAAGAAAACCCGCCAACCTTGGTGTAATTACTGGAACGGTACTGCTGATTGTTGTAACCCCGTTCCGTTCTCCCTCCGGACTGTACAGCCAAGTTGTCTTCCATATCCCTGGCCAACTCCATAGCAGCCTCCAAATCAGCTGGCCGTAGAAGCCGTAAGGAACTGGGAATGGTGTCCCATAGCCCTTTCATAAAGTACCCCAAGTAGTGGGCATCACTCAAACCTGAAACCTGGGACCTGACTGGCTAATTGCACGAACACATTCGCATAGTCTTCCACGGACCCTGACTGCTTAACATCGGTCAACCGTTCGAACGTGCTCTCTTTGAACCGAGTATCAAAACGGGCTACAAGGGCTTGGGAGAACTCCTCCCAGGATATGTCCGGTCTCCGCGATCGTGTCCATGAAAACCAGTACAGAGCCGGTCCCTCCATGGCTACTATGGCAGACGCCACCTTCAACTCGGGTCGGGTGTGGTGGATTTCAAACTGTTGGTTAGCCCTGGCGAGCCACCCTACCGGGTCTGCCCCCTCAAAAGCTGGTAGCGTTAATGGTGCGTTCACAGTCCCTGGGTTGTGGGGGGTTTGTGTTTCGCCCACTGAGTCAGCCGTGCCTCCCCCTCCTGAATTGGAATTAATCGGCGGTTCGTCTGTGGCCATAACCTTCTGCGTCAGTTTGTCCAATATTGCGGTGATAGCATCTAACTTGGCGTTTGTGGAGTGCACTTCCACCCTGATTTCTCGCTGATCTGCCTCTATCGCATCAATGCGTTGATCAAGTTGAGGACTGTACAGCCAAGTTGTCTTCCATATCTCTGGCCAACTCCATAGCAGCCTCCAAATCAGCTGGCCGTAGAAGCCGTAAGGAACTGGGAAAGGTGTCCCATAGCCCTTTCATAAAGTACCCCAAGTAGTGGGCATCACTCAAACCTGGGACCTGACTGGCTAATTGCACGAACACATTCGCATAGTCTTCCACGGACCCTGACAGCCAGTCAAGTTGTCAGGTTGTCTTCCAAATTGCTAGAAGCAGAAAACCCTAGCAGACGATATTAACGTGTGTCCCAGCCTTAGGCTCAAACCAAATCCTTATTCTCAATAATCCCTAATAGTTCACAAGATCAGACCTCCTTAAATACTCCTTAACCTAATAATAAAATATGGCCATCTAGGCCCAGTAACCTAATAATAAAATATGCCCATCTAGGCCCAACAGTTTATTAGAACTAACAATTGAATGATATAAAGTAATAAAACCCAGCCGTCAATCCATCCCATCTAGACCCGCTGGCGGCGACGGTAAACCAATAATGGGCGAGGGCCGTCCTCTTGAAGGAGCGGCCCAGTTGCCTCCTCCTGGAGCCTCAGCCCAACTGCCTCCCGCTCTCTAACAATCGTCTACTAGCTGGCCAGCCAGAGCCAATTCATCAGCGAGAGTGCTAAGATGATGGAGGTATTCTCCCACCCCTTGAGAACCTTGTTGACTATGGCGAAACCTGTCTTTGAGGCTCCGAAACTGGGAAGCTGATCGGGTACCATATAGTCGTTCGAGGGTTTTCTAGATTGCTGCAGAGGTGCGTGCCGAGCCGACCAAAGGTTGCATGCCAAGCTGAGGGAGGAGACAAGAGCACGTCAGAGGAGGCGGTCTTGACTATCCCACCGCAGACAGCATGCGGTGTCACTTTTAGGTGGCGGAACAGCATCATCATCGATGTACTAGCACGTGGTCGCGCTATATTAGGTAATTTGTCCCTTCAAGTTTTTCTTGGAAGTGGCTGGGGTTGAGCATGATTAGACCATCTGGGTGAGGGGGTTGTTGACTGTGGAAGAAGGAATTCCAGAAAGAATGGCAGACTGCTCACGAATAATGGCAGACTGCCCGGCATAGGGATTTCTGAGGTCTGGTTAGAGCTCGTGTGGCTTTGATACCATAATGAACTTTAGAAAGGTACAGGATTTAGGTTGAAATGCTTGATTGAATTACTAATCTTGAAGTCCAATTTATACAACCAGGAGGAGATGTTCTCAAACTCTTTCGGGTTAGACTTGAGTGTTGTTCTATTGTTTTCCCATTGAATTTGAATTCCATACATGAAGTTGGCACCTATCTTCCAACAGTTTCGACAATGAATGGCTCGTTACTTTGTTACAATGAATTGGATAAACTCGCAGCATTGTAGCCTATTTTCAACAAGACACTTTAATATAAGTACTACGTAATAACTAGTTTTTTTTTTGGAAAATTGGAGTGTGCATCACATATAACTACATTTGCTTTTACATTGATACATTATACAATGATACATATTTGCAGGGAAGTCATTTTAATTTATTGTATTATTTCTTTGAAGGGCCCATTCATCAATGGGAAATTAGTGTCTGCTGCGGACTTATCACTGGGACCAAAGCTGTATCACATGGAGATTGCTCTGGGGTACTACAAGAAGTGGTCAGTCCCAGATTCACTTGTCTGTGTTAAGTCATACATGAAGGTAATGTAATGCTTTGAGAAGGATTATTACCGTTGGAGTCTGAGTCATGCGGACCTGGAAAGTTAAGCCTTTTAATCGGTATGAGGTCTCCAAGATGATAAATGAGACATGCAATCGTGAATGATTGAAACTATCATTTTTACTTATCACATGATAAATATAAAGTTTAAAAACTGGAATTCATGATTCTTTTAAATTCTTGCTCATAGTTTAAATCATTCGTGTTCCCACTCTTCCCTAATACTACGTAATACTAAAATCAGTATTAATGATTAACATTTACATATTTAAACACACCCCCACACATATTTGTGTGTACGTATATGTGTGTGAGTGTGTGCGAGCGTGCATGTATGTAATATGTAATGAGATATTAAAATAGAGATAAATTCACTAGAAGATATGAATAGTGGTGTAAAGAATCTCATTTGGGATAAATAGTCTAAGAATCTTAATTCGAGACATCATTTCATTTCATTTTCATTTACTCCAGTGCCGCAAAGGCTCCCACCTACGGTGGGGTAAGGGGGGGTCGGATGTACACAGTCTTACCCCTGTACTAAAGCACAGAGAGACTGTTTCCGAATGATCCATAGTGAAAATCTCGTCCAAAATTGCATGGACTGACTGCTGCTTCATAACAAAGAAGCGCAGACAGTTTAGTGATCCATTTTGCTTTATTCCATCATAATCTCAAGCCAAAAAATAATGAATCTTTGGCTCCATTGCAAATGATGGAAAAAATCTTAATTCGAGACGGAGAGAATAATTTTATCTTCTAGACCAAGATGTGCGGATGATACTAATGTTTTCTCTTAGATTCATTGCTAGCATCCACATAATTTTGAAATTTGTGCAAATCATGTTTTGATTATGTTTGGGGCTCTGCAATGGCCGATGAGGCTTTGATTTTAAAATGACAAAAGTTTAGGATTTATAATCTATTTCTTTGAACACAGGACATATTCTCCCGAGACTCTTTTGTAAAAACGAGGGCTTTGGACGATGATATTATTGAAGGTTGGAGATCAAAAGTTGAGGGGTAGATAGAAGTTCGAGACTCGAAGTCTTTTGCTACATTTGGGTTAGATTACAACCCAAGTCATTTGTATACACCGAGAAAGTTAGCAACTCTGCTGCCACCCTAGCTCATTTGTCTTGATGGTTTTGACAATATCAAATGTAGCCTCCACATTACCACATACGTAGTATACATTTTTAAACATGTATGTTTTCAATGCTTGTGACAAATATGTCAAGTATACTCTCGGTGACTTGCGAGTTGCAAGAGTGCAACTACTTTTCTACATTTGCTTCAAATTCACAATAATGATAAAATGGTGATTTCGCTCCAAACTGGTCAATAAGGTGGCGAACCAAGTTACCAAGATAGCCTTGCGTCATTTTTCTTCTTCAAGACTTCAAGTGCATGAGATCATTCATTTTAGCATCTGGGTTTTACGCCTTGTCTAAGAACACACAATTCATTGTTCTGATCAATGTAGGATACCTCACCCCCACCTAAACAAATCTCAAGGCTTATGATCTCCTAATTCTGTGGACCCCATACCACCAACGAATTGGCAGCACTTAGGGGTGGACTCGGGCCGGGCCAACCGGCCCGGAACCGGACCGGCCCGCTACTGTGCGGGCCCGGACCGGCCCGGTGAACCGGTTGGTTGGCCGGTTCAGGCCACCCGGCCCGGTGGGATCTCGGTTCAGGCTCGGGCCCTTCAAAAGGTGAACCGGCCTAGCCGGTTCGGGCCTGGGCCGGACCAATTTTTTTTTGTTTTTTTGATTTTCTTTAAGTTTTTGGGTTGGGCTGGGCATTTTGGGCCATTTGAGGTGGTTAGGGTTGGTTTGGGGGTGAGGGGGAGGATTGGGGGTTAACTAGGACAAGCCCAAAAAAAAAATATAACTGAGGCCCGGCCCGGCCCTGCCCGGCCCGGATCCGCGGGTTACCGGGGCCGGTTCCGGGCTTCCCATACCTTGAACCGAGGCCCGGCCGGTTCAAGGCCTGAACCGGGCCCGGCCCGAACCGAGTCCATCCCTAGCAGCACTATACTGGATGACCAGGGATATGATTCCATCGTATTCATGGTTTTATATCCTGGGATCAGATGAGTACAATATCCAATCATTGAGTGCTAACTAATAAACCTCAACGTGAAATAATTTGCAAGTAATTGATCATCCTCCATCATCTCTCTATATAGCTAGCTGATCAACAACTCTGCTTCGATCCTCCTCCAAGTAACCGGGAGGAAATCAACTTGTCATCAGAACTGCTGGATGTGAAACATTCTGCTTTCATTAAACCTAGAAACTTGTGTGCTTCACTTAGTCTTCCAACCTTAAATAGACCAATTATCAACCAAGAAAAGGAAGCAGAATTAGGAGAGATCGACCTATACTTCATCTCGTAATAAAGCTTGAGTGCTCCTTCAATGTCGCTGCCTTCTTTTGCATAACCAGCAAGAAGATGAGAATAAGTGTTTTGGTCAGGAACAAACCCTTTATCTAAAAGCTCAGTCAACATTCGATCAGCCTCCTTTGCAATTCCATTTTCACAGAGCTTCTCTACCATTGCATTGAAAGCCAAACAGCTAGGGACAAATCCCATCAGCACCATCTTCTTGCAAAAATCCAAACTCTCCATCACCCTTCCTGCATTTGAACAACCCTTCATCAAGTGCTCAAATGTCTCAATGAGTGGTTTGATATCTACACTTTCCATTTGCCCTAAAATCTCAATTGCGTCGTCCACTCTTCCTTTTTCACAATATGATGCGATAAAAGCGTCATACACAAATGCATTTCCTTGGAAACCTCTCTTGAGCATTTCATCATACACCTCCCATGCGCAATCCAAATCCCCCATCTTCACTCTCGCAAAAACAATCAGAGAATATGAAACCGTATCAATGATCATATTTTTCTGCAACATTCTCTTTAACAATTTCAATCCGTATCCCATTCTTCCATCTTCTATAATCCCATGGATCAAACAAGTATTCACAACCACCCCAGGCCCACATCTCTTCCCCCTGTGAATATTTCCCACAACATCCACAAACCATTGCAGCCTCCCTTCTTTACACATAGCATTAACCATGGTTTCAACTGTGGTTAGATTAGGGTTTACTCTTTTCTCAATCATATGACCATATATATCCCAAACCATTCCATGCTTTTCAGATTTTTGGAGAACATGGAGCAATGCATTATAACTAAATTCACTAAGAACAAATCCATTATCATCCAAAACTTTACAAATATTAAACCCCTTATCCGTCAGCCTCAACTTAGAACAGACTTGCACGAACAGATCAAACACAAAAGGTACAGAATCAGTGGTTTTATAAGTTTCAAGCAGTGAGCCGAGAACCGTAAGAACGTCAGAATTTTCTAGTTTGGTAAAAACTGACTCAATTAATGCCTTGGCGTCTTTGATGAGCCTGGCCTTGGCGAGAATGTGAACGGTGATGGAATAGGTTTGAACACCATGACTGAATCCGGCAGATTTACCTGACCAGTGGAAGAAATTCAGAGCCTTCGTTGCATTGGCTTTGTCTTTAAAGCTAAGGAGCACTTTGTTCACTAGCGAGGTGGTGAGATTGATGAAACTGAGTTCTCGGGCTAGGGACTCCCATTTGTGGCTTCTATGGAAGGAGTTGCAGACGTATGTGACCGTCGCGTCTTCTTCGATTAGGGGCTCTGGCGATTTTGCGGAAGAGAGAGAGAGTATTCTGGAGGAGTTTTTGGCAGTTGAAAAGCTTTTAGCTAAGGAGAGCAATGCGCGAGAAGAGGTGGCCATTCACGACGAGTCTATGATATCCAGCAAATTATTATACTGTGGGATCTGCTCAGGGTGCGCACGGTGTGCCGATCCCAAAACGGTACCGTACTTCTTTTAAAAATTGCAAATTCTCTTGCGCTACTCAATAGAGAGTGTAGTCAGTTCAGTCTACCGGAGTCCTGCAGAGACGCTCTGATCTTCGACCTATGTTCCAATAAATATGCTAGATTGCTGGTTTATTAATTTGAAATCAAATTGGATGAGTCTACTAGGCACATCTTATCTACGTTAAAAGAGTTGGTTTTCGCCCTGCTCTTCTCTTTATATGCCTGCGTGAAGAAGCTTGAAACGATTTTGAAAATCATATTCATCACAGAGTCCCTATCTTGACCATGATCTTTCCTTCTTCGTCGGCTGCAAGATCCAGATCTGAACTCCGTTTGATTCTCCATGTGCGCAAATGGAATTGACTGGTTTGAATGAGAGATTTCCCCCCGATAGCAGACATGACTCTATTAAGCACTTAGGTGTTATAGATGACAAATAGAATAGCTTGTCCATCTCCGGCCATGCTTGTAGCCTTGCCAGCGAGTTTGACGTTAGTTAGGTAGGTTGAAGCACTGGTGTTATATTTGGAGTATATGGACTAAATGAGAACTTACATTTTTATTGGTGTTAAGTTACATTTCAATATGCCTTAGGTTACATTTCCTTTAACCCAATTTACATGACAATTTATGTCAAGTTACACTTAAATTCATGTGATTTACATTTTGATCTACCTCAACAAATTACATTACAATTAACGTGATTTACATCTAAGTTACTTGAACTTACATCTTAATATACACGATTTACATTTCGTATATGACAGACAAGAGAATAATTATTGGAAGGAGTTAAGTTACATTCCAGTGCATGAGTTACATTTACCAATAACTGAACTTACATTGCGTAGAACCGTGAGTTACATATCAATACACAAGATTTACATCAAATAAAAATATTGAGATAAAAACTAATGTTACTGTTCATCCGCGTTTTTAAGTTAAACTTTATATTAAACGAAACTTTTTATTAACGGGAGTACCATGCTCACCGTGGGATGCTCCCACGGTATACCAACTGATGATATCCGATCTACAAGAATTAGAATTAGTGAATTATTACATACATGGAAAATTCCTTTTGTACACGCCAAGTTTTACACGTCGGGTTACACGCCTGTCAAATTGTCTGTGTACAGACAATTTGATCGACCACACAGACATATTAAGCGGCGATTTACGAAATAAAACCGATTTTCACACAGACAAAAATAAAAAAAATGTCTATCACAGACACTTTATGAAAAATTCAGGTTTAAAATGTCTGTGATACAGACAACTCTTAATATTTTGTCTGTACGGAAATCAATTTTCTTCATAAAACGCTGGTCAAATTGTCTGTCTAGCCGATCAAATTGTCCGTATACAGACAATTTGACCGGCGTGTAACCCGGCGTGTACACGAAGCGGGATTCTTCTTCGTTTTCGGTTCGGTTTCAGTTTAATCGGTTTGATAGAAAATGTACCAAATACAAACCGATTAAGTTTCGGTTTGGTTTCGGTTTGGTATGGTTCGGTTTGAAGTTCGGTTTATCAAAGTATTAAGGTTTGATTGAAATAAAAAAAATTAACTCAAAATAATGAACCAAGAAGCGATAGTAATGAACCAAATATAATGTTAGATATAAATTTGCAAACAGTAACAAAACACATATGAACCAAAAATATATAAGCATGACACATTTGTAAGCAACAACAACGAGAATGAATCAAATTATATATAAAGCCGAAACAAAAACAAAACTGGTGCTTGTAAGTAATGAACCAAATATATAGTAGTATTAGATAATATATTATAGCTAAATACTATCTACTTAAATCACTATAATTGTTATAGTTGTGAATGTAACTTTTGTAGTAAACTCTAGTCATCGACACTAAAATTAAAGAATTAAAGCTTCAAAAAGATTAACATCAATCAAATTAATGAGAGAAATCTTATATTTTGGTTTGGTTTAATTTGGTGTAAGTTGGTTTTGATTTGTTATTTTAAAACAATAAGAAATTATTTCATTTTTAGATTAGTTCGGTTTTATTTGGTTTTATGATTTCGGTTCGTTTTGGTTCGGTTTAATACGGGATGGGAGAAATACTACCAAACTCAAACCAAATTACAAATGGTTCGGTTTCGGTTTGGTTTAATTTGGTTTGGTACGGTTCGATTCGGTCAACCCGAACCGTTATGCCCACTCCTAGTTCTCAATATGGAACTATGGATCATTCTTGGTGTACACCCCGGGTTACACTTGGGTTACACCTATTTATTTGTCATTCACATGGACAAAAAAGTATAAATATTGACACTTTCGATAAAATTGTCTGTGTGAGCAAAAATTGATTTGTTGATTCATGTAACTTTCGGCAGATCTATCAGGGTAGTTGCACGAAAACCAATGTCGATGTATACAGACATTAGTTGTCTGTGTAGATAAAAAGTGTTTGTACATATACAATTTTTTTCTGTGTACACAGACATTTGTTTCGATGCAATCTAACTCTAACTTTTTAAACATTTTTTGTATGTGTACACAGACACCAAAAGAAAATCAGTGTCATTGTACATACATTTTTTGTTTATGGCGAAAGTTTATAGAATGGTACAAGTTTTTTGGTTTCATCTTCCATTACAGACAATATTTATCATTATTTAAAAACAAAAAATGAGGTAGGCTATGTTTGTTTAGAGACTGTTCTTTTTTAGAGAAGATATTTCATTTAACAGCTTTCCCTTTTCTTCTTTAAAAACATTTCTTTCAGTTTCCAGAGATGTGTGAACATCAACTGATGAAGATAATTTTATTGTGATCAAGTTGTTAAAATAGTCTTGTTTTATTTTACCATTTATGGTATTTTTATTTAATAAATAGAATAGCCTATTAAGGAAGAAGGTCGTTTATGTGTAAGGCCCAATTCCCTACGTTAGTTCCTTTTAAGGAAAGCTGTACACCATACGCATACAAATATGCGCTTAGGAGTGTACAACATAAGACTATTTCTCATTTGTGCATCCATATCTGTTAGTTAATCTCATAAACAGGGACCAACAACGGGTATCAGAGCCGACGAGTGAAGATCGATCACGAAATCCTTTGTTTTTTCTGATGGAGTATATGGCCCAAGAACCCTCGACCGACATACTTTCAATACTACGATCAGACCCAACAGACCCAAGTTGGCCCACACACGGCAAACAAGACTCCAGGCAGCCCATACTACGCATGGTATGCCTTCGGCCCCAGGCCCGAAGGCTCTATACTCAGCAAACGGTTGAACCTGGTCCAGAGACCTCGCTGGGGAACAAGGCTTGAAATGTGAGCTTTCGGAATTTACAGCCTTCGGGCCATGATGCCCCTGACTATGTATAGCCTTCGGCACACGAAGGCCCTGGTACGCACAGCCGAAGGCGCTTTCCTCGACAGGATCTCCTCTCCATATGCGCTGAATCACCGCATTAAATGCAACGTCACACCCAAACCACCGCATTGAATGTGGCCACATACACATGTCGGCGCCACCTTGGCTGATTTGACCCCCCATCCGTTGGCTGCTTGACACACGTCCTTTCGATTATTGCCCCTAGCATTTATGGCTGCTATAAATAGCAGCCATTTCCATTGTAATCACAACACAACACATATATCGAATACATACTCTCTCTCTTACTTTCTCTGACCTCTCTCTTGATATTTCTTATAATATCCCTCGGATAAGCTACCCCCGGGTACACTATCCATCATTTGGTACTCTCGTTGAGAGGTCGAACAATCAAGTAAGAAGCCCTCCCCCTCAGAAAAACACTCCTCAGAATGGGTAGAACTCGCGGTCAATCCAAGACCTTGGAAGACAAAAACCTAGGTCTCGGTGAGGTTAACACCGCCGAAGCCTTCAACAAGGCTCCCGAAGGCGGGGCCCTTGCTGAAATGGAGCAGGTCACTATTGACCTGTGCCTTCAGCTCCAGAAGAATGATCCCGGCGCTCATGTTGGCCTCGAAACCCGTAAGAAGGACCGGAGCGAAAACTAAGTTAGCCCCCCAGTCCTAACTATCGACGTACAATCGGCTTTCTCTGCCTTCATCTACGCTCTCACCCAGAACCCTGGTGCCTTCGGGGCTTTGGTACCACCTCAGGCCCACGTGGGGGAGAATGTCATTCCATGCCAGCCGCTTGCGCCCCCCTTTGTACCCCCGGTTCCAAGAATCGGGAATGACGAGGGGGTCGTTGCTCAGGACACCACCTCCCAGGAAGTCCAGTCCCGGGACCAGCGTGGTACGAACAAAGATAGGCCTCGGACCTCCGCCCTTGACAGGCTCGGAGGAGCACTTGATCACCGAGGGGTCCAAGACCGCCTCAGTGGTAAAGTGTTCCAAAGGCCTCATGAGAGCGGAGGATCCGTCTCGAGGGAGGATGAGAGGCATCCCCCTCGGGACAAAGGCAAAGGGCAGCTACATGCTGATGACGCCAGGCACCGGATCAACCAGGCTCACTCAGCCCGCGTCCAATCACTCAGGGCGGGACCACTCCTGAAGGACCACAGGGATGAGATCATTGAGGCCCTCCAGCGCCGCCTCGACAAGATGGAGGCCCGTCAGACCCAAACAACAGCCTCCGCCTCTGTAACACCGCCCCCGAGTATTTGTACTGTACCAAATTATGTATTGAACCTCGAGAAATGTATAAAAGCATTTTTACGTGATTGTAAATTTTTATCATTCCTATTACGTGAATAGTAAAATTCACGTGGGGCCCACACCGGATGTGGGGCCGCCCGATATTATCGGGACCACATATTATATTAATCTTGGACTAGATAATATGGATATGGTGATGGATATCCTAATTGGGCCATGGCAATGGCATAGAGTTGACCGGTTGGTCAAACGAGGCCAAGTTATCGGTATCGGCAATTTA